TCTCCCCTGGGGTCACTGTGCCTTCCCCTGGGTCCCAGTGCCCACACTACTTTGTGTGTGCCCAGGAAGAGTGGAGTATCTGTTTCTCCCAGTCCTGTCGAAGTCCTGCAGTCAAATCCCACTAGCATTCAAAGTCTGATTCTCTAGGAATTCCTCCTCCCGTTGCTGGACCCCCAGGTTGGGAACCTGACATAGGGCTGAGAACCTTCACTCCAGTGGGCTCACTTCTGTGGTATAAGTGTTCTCCAGTGTGTGAGTCACCCACTCAGCAATTACGGGATTTGATTTGACTGAGATTGTGCCCCTCCTCCCGTCTCATTGTGGCTTCTCCTTTGTCTTTGGATGTGGGGTATCTTTTTTGGTGTGTTCCAGTGTCTTCCTGTCAGTGATTGTCCAGCAGCTAGTTGTGATTCTGGTGTTCTCACAAGAGGGAGTGAGAGCACGTTCTTCTACTCTACTATCTTGGTTCCTGTCCCTTTCGTCACTTTAAATATGTCCTGCCACTCTTTTCTGGCTTGCAGAGTTTCTGCTGAAAAATGAGCTCTTAACCTTATGGGGATTCCCTTTTATGTTATTTGTTGCTTTTTCCTTGATGCTTTCTGTATTTTTTTTGTATTTAATTTTGATAGTTTGATTAATATGTGTTTTGGCACGTTTCTCTTTGGGTTTATCCTGTATGGTACTGTCTGTGCTTCCTGGACTTGATTGACTATTTCCTTTCCCGTGTTAGGGAAGTTTTCGACTATAATCTCTTCAAATATTTTCTCAGACCCTTTCTTTTTCTCTTCTTCTGGGACCCCTATAATTCAAATGTTGGTGCATTTAATGTTGTCCCAGAGGTCTCTGAGACTGTCTTCAATTCTTTTCATTCTTTTTTCTTTTTTCTGCTCCCCGGCAGTTATTTCCACCATTTTATCTTCCAGCTTACTTATCCGTTCTTTTGCCTCAGTTATTCTGTTATTGGTTCCTTGTAGAGTATTTTCAGTTTCAGTAATTGTATTGTTTATCACTGTTTGTTTGTTCTTTAGTTCTTCTAGATCCTTGTTAAATGTTTCTTGTATTTTCTCCAGTCTGTTTCTGAGATTTTGGGTCATCTTTACTGTCATTACTCTGAATTCTTTTTCAGGTAGGTTGCCTATTTCATGTTCATTTATTTGGTCTTGTAGGTTTTTACCTTTCTCCTTCATCTGTAACAAAATTTTTTGTCATTTTTTTTTTTTTGATGGGTGATGCTCTATTCCTGTCTTACTGGTTGTTTGACCTGAGATGTCCAGCACTGGAGTTTTCAGGGAGTTAGATAGAGCTGGGTCTTGGTGCTGAGATGAGGACCTCTGGGAGGCCTCACTCCGATTGATATTCCCTGGGGTGTGAGGTTCTCTGTTAGTCCAGCGGTTTGGACGCAGAGCTCCCACCACAGGAACTCGGCCCCGACCTCTGGCCTGGGAACCAAGATCCCACAGCCTGGTCGCTGGGTGTTCCTCCTGTTCCCTTAGGTGTCTGTAGTCCCTCACCAATGCCTGGTAGGTTCCCTAGTTGTGAGGAGCTGCAAATTCTGTGTACTCCTAGTACGCCATCTTGACTCCACCCTTCAGCGTGGACATTTTAACAATATTAATTCTTTTTTAAAATAAATTTATTTATTTACCTATTTTTTGCCTGCGTTGGGTCTTAATTGCTGCATGTGGGCTTTCTCTAGTTGCAGCGAGCAGGGGCTACTCTTCATTGTGGTGCACGGGCTTCTCATTGTGGTGGCCTCTCTTGTTTCAGAGCACAGGCTCTAGGCAGGAGGGCTTCAGTAGTTGTGGCTCACAGGCACTAGACTACAGGCTCAGAAGTTGTGGCACACGGGCCTAGTTGCTCCATGGCAGTGGGATCTTCCTGGACCAGGGCTCAAACTTGTGTCCCCTCCATTGGCAGGCATATTCTTAACTACTGCGCCACCAGGGAAGTCCCACAATATTAATTCTTGTGATCCATGAACACAAGTTATCTTTCCATTTATTTGTGTCTTCATCAGTTTCTTTCATCAGTGTTTTATCAGTTTTGGTGTATAGATTTTGACTTTCTTGGTTAATTTATTTCTAGGTATTTTATTGTTTTTGATGTTAATGTAAATGAGATTGTTTTCTTTAGTTTTTTTTCCAGATAGTTCATTGTTAGTGTATAGAAACACAACTGATTTTGTATCCTGAAAGTTTACTGAGTTTGTTGATTAGTTCTAACAGTTTTTTGATGGAGTTTTAAGGATTTTCTCTATATAAGATCATGTCATCAGCAAACAGGTTTACTTTATTTCTGATTTAGATGCCTTTTATTTGTTTTTCTTGTTAATTTCTCTGGCTAGGACTTATGGTACTTTGTTGAAAAGTAGTGGTGAGAGTGGGCACCCTTATCTTGTTCCTGATCTTAGAGAGAAAGCTTTCAACTTTTCACCATGGAGTATGGTGTTAGCTTTGGGCTTGTCATATATGGCCTTTATTATATTGAGGTATGTTTCTTCTATACCCACTTTATTGATAGTTTTTATTACGAAAGGATGTTGAATATTTGTCAAATAATTTTTCTGCATCTATTGAGATGATCATATGATTTTTACCTTTCATTCTATTAATGTGGTGTATCTTATTTTGTTGATTTGTGTATTTTGAACCATCCTTGCTTCCCAGGGATAAATCCCAGTTGATCATGGTGTATGATCCTTTTAATGTGCTGTTGAATTCAGTTTGCTAGTATTTTGTTGAGAATTTTTGCATCTGTATGCATCAGGGATTTTGGCCTCTAGTTTTCTTCTCTTGTAGTGTTCCCATCTGGATTTGGTTTCAGGAGACTGCTGGCCTTGTAAAATGAGTTTGGGTGTGTTCCCTCCTATTTAATTTTTTGCAAGAGTTTGAGGATTAACGTTAATTCTTCTTTACATGTTTGGTAGATTTTACTCATGACACCATCTGGTCCAGGACTTTTTGTTGTTGTTGTTGAGAGGTTTTGTATTAGATTCAGTTTCCTTACATATTATTGGTTATGTTCAGATTTTCTGTTTTTTATGATTAAGTCTTGGTAATTGTATGTCTCTAGAAATTTGTCCGTTTCTTCTGTGTCACCCCATTTGTTGGCATATAATTGGTCAAAGTAATGGCTTATGATCCTTTGAATTTGTGTGTCACCAGGCATAAAGTCTCTTTCATTTCTAATTTTTTGTTTGAATCCTCTCTCTTTTTTTCATGGTAAATCCAGCTAAAGGCTTTGTCAGTTTTCTTTCTCTTTTCAAAAAAAACAGCTCTTAGTTGTGTTGATAGTTTATTTCTTTTTATTGTTGAAAAATATTCCATTCTCTGGATATACCAGTGTTTATCCATTCACCTATTGAAGGACACCTTAGTTGCTTCCAGTTTTTGGTAGTTTTGAATAAAGCTGCTATAAACATTCACGTGCAGGTTTTTATGTGGGCATAAGTTTTCAACTCATTATGGTACATACCTAGGAGCACAATTGCTGAATTATACAGTAAGACTATGTTTAGCTTTATAAGAAACTGTCATACCATCTCTTAAAGTACTGTATTGCTTTGTATTCCTGCCAGCAATGAATAAGAGTTCTTCTTGTTCCACATCCCCAGTAGCACTTGGTGTTATCAGTGTTCTGGATTTTAGCCATTTTAATAGATGTGAAATGGTATCTCATTGTTTAAATTTGCAATTACCTAATGGCATATGATGTTGAGCATCTTTTCATATGATTGTTGTCTTTATATATTCTTTGGTGAGGTCTCTGCTTAGGTATTTTGCCCACTTTTAAACTTGGTCCTTTATTTTTTTAAACAGTTTCCTTTAGTTCTTTGAATATATATATATATAATAGCTGCTTTCCATTCCTAGTTTAAAAAAATCTAAGAAGTGAGCCCCTTCTGGGACATTTTTTTTTGTTGGTTGCCTTTTTTTTTAAGTTCTTGTTTGTATTTTTAAGCATGGCTTCCTCAGATCACCCCCTGAGTCAGTATAAATCAGTGGTCAGTCAATGATGGGCCAGAAGATTCCTTAAATGCCTTGAACCAGTAAGTTCTCCACCTTTTGCCAAGAGGATCTTTGTGTGAAGGTATACTTCATACTTTAGGAAGTTTATAAATCAGCCTTAGTTTTCATTTCTTATTTCCAGAGTTGAATGACTGGGGCCTTCTCCTGTCCCATTTCTTTCCTGGGTAGGTTCACAGTCTTGTATACTCATGCATACTTTCAGATCCCCAAGAATATGGTGGAACCTTTCAAAGTTCCCCTATGGCCATCTGATTTTCAAGGTCTTCCTTTTAAATTTTTAGCCAGGCTCTTGTTTGCCCCAAATTGAAATCACAGCCTTAGGCAGCTGTGATATTATCAGAAGATTGCTATGGTTTTCTTGGAATGCCTGGGGGAAAGGACTTTTTACATAGAGCTGAGCTCTGAGTCAAATCAAATGATAACAACACCCTAGGAATGGAGATTTTCCAGGTAGCTGCTAGTTTGGTGAAAATATTGACTGTGTTCTGGGGATGGGGCTTTTAATAAAGTTCCAAAAGATCCATTGGTGTGATAATGCTGGCTTTCATGGCTACCATACCTCTGAGCTTGGAAGGGAGGGAGGATGGGAATAACCTCAAGTTAAAACTTCACAGACTGGTGTTCTTACTGAGGTTCATTAGTTTTTTTTGAATCGATACTTTTCAGTTCATTCTCTGCCTTTGGTTAATTTCCAATGTTCTGACCTGTTTTTTTTTAATGTTTTGCCTGTATTTTAAAACCCAAGTAGGGGAATTCACTCACTAAGGTCCTGAGCTTGATGTTCTGGACATTAGTTTGTTGACATCTCTAATTTTGGTGGAAAAACAATGTTCTTCTGAGACATTGCTTTAATATTTATTATGTATATAAATTGTGGTTTGTAAATGATAGATAAAACATTAGCACTTTTTCTTTTTGCGGAAACTTTTAGGCACACATTTGGGACAATTATATTCTTTCTTTTTCAGGTTCCTATTAGTTCTGAGTCTGTAGACCCATCTGATGATATTGAGGTACAATCTTTGATATGTCAGAGAGAATGCAGCAAAACTGTGAACACTGAAGCCTTAATGACAGTATTTCACCCTCAGAATTTGGAGACTCTTAATTCCAAAATGGTAGGAAAACAAAATATTTATTAAATCTATAGATTGAAACAGTTGATCAAAAATAAAAATCTTAGATCAGACTGAAAACTCTTCTTTTTGGGCTTGAAAAGGTTTTCTAGCAGGTGCTACTGTGTGACATGTTTGGTTCCATTACAAAATAGGACTGTTATCAAGAATTAAGATGAAAGTTGAACCTTGGGCTTTATTTGCATAGATTTCTAACAGTCAATCCTAATTGGGGTGATTGGTGAGAATGATGGTTCAAAGCTTTACCTCCTAGGTGTCATGGTTTTCCCATTTTAATATGAGAAGAACTAAAATAGTAAATTAAACCTGTTATGCTCACATGGATTTTAAAGATTTTTGTGATGACAGTGGTGCAGTGTTTAGCCCATCTGTGAATACTGATTTTGACTTTCTGTGTTCTTGTTTTCCATAGGTATTGTTTCATGGTGAAGAGAGTTATCGAGTTATTTGAAACTTAATTTCAAATTAAGTTAATTTCTCACCATGTTTAATTGCTTTGATTTTTTTGTTATAGTTGAAAGAAAAGATGAAGGAACAGTCCTGGAACATCCTGTTTACAGAATGTGGGCGTGGTGTTAGCATGTTTCGGACCAAAAAGACTCAAGATCTGGTTGTAAGAGGGATTCCAGAGACCTTAAGAGGAGAGCTCTGGATGCTTTTTTCAGGTATTACATTTATTCATTTAACAAACATTATCTATGCCCCTTCTAGGAGTTATGTACTAAGCTAAATAAAAATAATTACAAAGATGGCTAGGACTAAGTCTTATCATGAGTTCAGACTAGTCACAGAGAGTACGGTAGTTATGTGTACTTACCTATATATCCATACATCCATTATCTGAGCAGATTAGTTTATTAGGCAATAGCTAACTGCAAGAGACAGGGTGGGAATCTCTAGTGTCAGAAGGAAGTTAAGGGGAAAAGACAGTTCATGAAAATGTTATTCTTTTGGATAAGATTCCTGTCCTGATGTTATAGATTCTAGTGTGAAGCTTTTCCTTTTATTGTTTGTACTCAGATAACACTTGAGCATAAAGCTTAATTTAAAAGTAATCCAAAAAAAAAAAAGTAATCCAGTTCTTCATGTATATAGGCAAGTAGTAGCTTTGTTATGTTCCTCTTCTTTTGTATGTTAATGTGATCATCTGTACAGGTGCTGTTAATGACATGGCTGCTAATCCTGGCTATTATGCTGAAGTGGTTGAGCAGTCTTTAGGGACCTGCAACTTGGCTACTGAAGAAATTGAACGTGATTTGCGTCGCTCCCTGCCTGAGCATCCAGCCTTTCAGAGTGACACTGGCATATCTGCTCTGAGGCGGGTACTCACTGCTTATGCATTCAGGAATCCCAAAATTGGATACTGCCAGGTATGATTTCATTATGAGCTCAACTGTTATCGTGTTCCAAATGATAAAAATCACATCAAATCCAACTCTACTAATAAGGACAGAGATTGGGCTGAGATTGATAGTGGATATTATTAATGTAAGAATGATAGTGGGAATATTTAGAATTGATATTCCATTAATTCATTTTTCTTTTAATTTAACAAATATTTACTGAATTCCTGCTCTGTAAAAGATACTGTGCTAGGTGCTCAAGACTATATAAAGCTGAATCAGATAAGAATCCTTCCCTTAAAAATATATGGACTGGTAGGTATTAAAACATATTCAAGGACTTCCCTGGTGGTGTAGTAGTTGGGGATCCACCTGCTAGTGCAGGGGACACTGGTTCAATCCCTGGTCTGGGAAGATCCCACATGCCATGGAGCAGCTAAGCCTGTGTGCCACAACTACTGAGCCTGCACTCTAGAGCCCACACGCCACAACTGCTGAGCCCACACACCACAACTACTGAAGCCCACGCACCTAGAGCCCGTACTCCGCAACAAGAGAAGCCACTGCAGTGAGAAGCCCGTGTACCTCAACAAAGAGTAGCCTCCGCTTGCTGCAACTAGAGGAAGCCTGTGTGCAGCAACAAAGACCCAGTGCAGCCAAAAATAAATAAAAAATTTAAAAACAAAAACAAACAAACAAAAAAGCATATTCATTGGCAAAAGAAAAACAAATGAGACAATTTATTAGAGAAATATTAAGTCTCACCAGGATTTATAATAGCGATAAGTTGGAGGAACAGAGAAGCCTGCATGGAAGAGGTGGCATTTTTAGGTCTTGAAATTGGTGAATTTTAGATGTATGGAGATGGAATGAAATACCATTGTAGGTGAAGGGATCAGTGTAACCAAACACAGAGGTAAATGTGGAATATATGTAGGACCATGTTCTGTTTAGTAGAATTGTAGAGTGAATGAAGTGAGGTAATTGAGGGAAAAAAATCAATAAGGTAGATTGGGGTAGGTCAGGAGTTTGAATGTTACTTTGTAGGCAGTGGGGGAATCACTGAAAAAAATCCTTTAGGACACTAAAGGGTATGCCAGACTGCTAACACAAATAATCTCAAACACAATAGAAGTTTACTTAAAGGAATAAACAGAGGAGAGCAAATATTCAAGTCAGTAGGTAGCTCTCCTCCATGTGATTATTCAGGGATTTAGGCTGACAACAGGCTCTGTCATGTTCAAAACATGGCTTCCAAGGTGCTCTTTCATTGCCATTACTACTCACAGGAAGAGGGGAGAGAGCATGGAGAAACAATTATGAGAAATTTTATTGGCCAGGCCTGAAAGTTGCATGCATCACTTCACCCACATTTTATTGGAGGATCTTGGTCTCATGGCCACACCTATTCATAAAGAAGTCTGCGAAATGTAGCGTGGTTGAGCACATGTACATCCAGATACTATGGAAGACGGGGAGATTGGGTTATGGTGGATAGCTAGCACTCTCAGCCACACATTCATTTATGATGGGGTTGAGTACCCATAATGATTACATATCAGTCCTACCTATCCATTGAAACTTATCAATAGAGAGGTATTTTTGAAAAGCAATTTAAGTGAGTGGATCATCTGAATGACAAGTATTTAGCATGTTTTAGGATCTCTGAAAGGCAATAAAGAAGCATAATGCTTCTTTTCTCAAAGAGCTTACACTCAGCCTGTAATGTTATCTATATGTGGTAGTTTAAAGGCAGCTTCAAAGTAGGCAACACTTGATTTTTGACTTCTAAAAAATGAAAGCAAAATTAGAAACATGGAGGGCCAGAGGAAAGTTATTCAGAGTTAGGTAACACTATAAGCAATACCATTCAGGTGAAAATAAGCCTGCCATGGAGATCAGACTGGCTAGGTTCGTGCTAGAATCAAGAAGTAAATAAGTTTGTGTGAGGCAAGATCATGGTGAATCTTTCAAGCTTGGGAGAAGTTTGAATTTAATATAGGCAGGTTTTGTTGCTTTTGACCAAAAACTCAGGTGAGCCATACTGACTCATGGCTGGCTGACTGGCTTTGTTTATCTTTTCTTCTTCCATCCTTCCCTCCCTTCCTTCCATCTACCTGATCTATCTTCTTCCTTCTTTTCTTCCTTCCTTTCCTGTTTTCATTCCTTTTTCCTTTCATCTATCTAGAGATAGAATTCACATACCAGAAACTTCACCCATTAGTATTTTTTAGTATATTCACAAAGCCATGCAACCATCATCACAGTCTTAACTCCATAACACTTTCATCACCCCAGAAGGAAGCCCCACATCCATTAGTAGTTACTCCCCATTTCTCCCTACTCCCAACCCTAGGCAATCACTAATCTACTTTTCTGTTTCTATGGATTTGCCTATTATGGATATTTTATCTAAATGGAGTGATACAATATGTGGTCTTTTGTGTCTGCCTTATTTCATTTAGCATATTGTTTTCAAGGTTCACCCATGTTGTAGCATGTATTAGTACAAGACTTCATTCCTTGCTATGGCTGAATAATAGTCCATGGTATGGATATACAACATTTTGTTCAACAATTGGTAGGCATTTTGGGTTGTTTCCACATTTTTGCTATTGTGAATAATGTTGCCATGGATATTCGTGTACAACTTTTTGTGTGGCTGTGTTTTTTGATTCTTCTGGGTATTTAGCTAGAAGTGGAATTGCTGAGTTATGTGGTAACTTTATGTAACTTTAACATTTTGGGGCAATGCCAAACTGTTTTAAAAAGAGACCGTACCATTTTACATTCCCACCAGCAATGTATGTGATGGTTCCAATTTCTCCACATCCTCGGTGACACTTGTTATTATCTCTCTTTTTGATTATAGCCATCCTAGTGAATGTGAAGTGGTATCTCGTTGTGGTTTTGATTTGCATTTCCCTAACATGCTTATTGGCCATTTGTATATCTTCTTAGGAGAAATGTCTATTCAAATCCTTTGCCCATTTAAAAAATTGGATTATTTATCTTATTACTGTTGAGTTGTAATGGTTCTTTATATATTTTGGATACTAATCCATTTGCATGGATTTGTATTTGCAAAATTTTTCTCCTGTTCTGTGGATTGTTTTTTCACTTTCTTCTTTTTTGGTGGTACGCGGGCCTCTCACTGTTGTGGCCTCTCCCGTTGTGGAGCACAGGCTCCGGACGCGCAGGCTCAGTGGACATGGCTCACGGGCCTAGCCGCTATGCGGCATGTGGGATCTTCCTGGACCAGGGCACGAACCCATATCCTCTGCATCGGCAGGCGGACTCTCAACCACTGCGCCACCAGGGAAGCCCAGTTTTTTCACTTTCTTGATGGTGTTCTTTGAAGCACAAAAGTTTTAATATTTGTTTTTGTATGTTTTTCATTTGTTGTATGTGCTTTTGATGTCATATCTAAGAAGCCAGTGCCTAATCCAAGGTCAAGAAGATTTAGTCCTATGTTTTCTTCTAAGGGTTTTATAGTTTTAATACTTAAATTTAGGTTTTTGGACCATTTTGTCTTAGTTTTTGTGTGTGGTGTATGGAAAAGGTTCAGCTTCATTCTTTTACTTGTGGATAGCCAGTTGTCCCAGTGCCATTTGTTGAAAAAAAGCAGTCTTTGACTCATTGAATTGCCTTGGCACCCTTGTTGAAAATCACTTGACTATAAATGTTAGGGTTTATTTCTTGACTCACAATTCTATTCTATTGACTTATGTTTCTGTTCTCATGCCAGTATCACACTCTTTTTTACTACAGCTGTGTAGTAAGTTTTGAAATTGGGAACTGTGAGTCCTTTAACTTTTTTTTTTCCAAAATTGTTTTGGCTTTTTAGGTCTCTTGCATTTCCATATGAATTTTAGGATCTGTTTGTCAATTTCTGGGTAAAGAAGAAAAATCCAGCTGGAATTTTCTTAGTCATTGCATTGAATCTGTAGATCAACTTGGGGGATATTGTATATTAACAATATTAAGTCTTCTAATACATGAACACAGGATGTTTTACTTTTCCATTTATTTAATTCTTTTAAAATTTCATTCAAGGTTGTTTCATAGTTCCCTATGTGCAAGACTTTACTTCCTTTGTTAATTTTATTTCTAAGTTTTTTATTCTTTTTGACATTACAGTAAACGGAATTGTTTTCTTGATTTTATTTTTGGATTGCTCAATGCCAGTATATAGAAATAAAATTGATTTTTGTATATATTGATCTTGTATCCTGCAATCTTGCTAAGCTTATTCGTTCTAGTAGATTTTTTTTTGTGGATTCCTTATTTAGAATTTTCTATATACAAGATCATGGAATCTGAATAGTGATATTTTTTACTTCTTCCATTCCAACCTGGATGCCTTTTTTCCCTCTTTTTCTTGCCTGATTGACCTGGCTATAACCTTCAGTACAGTGTTGAAGAGAAGTGGTGAGAATGCATATTCTTGTCTTGTTATTTACCTTAAGGGGAAGCAATCAGTCTTTCATCATTAAGTATGAGGTTAACTGTGGGCGTTTTATAGATTCTTTTCATCATGTTGAGGAAGTTCCCTTATATTGCTAGTTTGTTGAGTGTTTTTATCATGAAAGGGTGGTGGATTTTGTTAAGTAATTTTTCTGTGTCTATCGAGACAATCATGTGATTTTTCCCCTTTATTTTAGTAATACATTGTTGACCTGAAACAAATAGACCACCAGATATTTCTTCAGCAAAGATGGATTTATTCAGGATGAGCAGAGAATTGCAACTTGGGGTCTACAACCATGGCGAGCCATGGGCAAGTCCCCCAATGGCAAGGGGAGGAGAACACTTTTATAGAGAAGAAAAGGAAGTTGGAAGAGCTATAGTAAACTAAGAGTCCATGGCTTTTCATTGGCCTTACCAGGAAAGAAGAGTTTTTTCTGCCTGTTGGTCTGTGCTGTAGTTGCAGGGTACAAGAGCGCCCCCTTCTGGTCTCCCAACTCTTTAATTGAGGTTTCCGTTTGTTAATTTTTTACATTGTGTATTACTTTTGCTGACTTTTT